AGTGAAGTTGTTTACAAGGCCTAGAAAATACCTTGGAACACACTTTTTTAAATTTAGCAGTAATATGAAAATGTTTAGAAATAATCCAAGGGATATATCAAGAATAAAAAACCAGGGCCAGCCCAGTGGCACAGCAGTTAAGTGCGCATGTTCCAATTCCACTGTCCAGGGTTTGCTGGTTCATATCCCGGGTGCGGACACAGCACTGCCTGGCACACCATGCTGTGGTAGGCGTCCCACATATAAAGTAGAGGAAGGTGGGCACAGATGATAGCTCAGGGCCAGTCTTCCTCAGCAGAAAGAGGAGGATGGGCAGCAGTTAGCTGAGGGCTAATCTTCCTCAAAAAAAAAAAAAAAGAATGAAATACCAAGAGTCTAACATAATAAGGAAATAATACTGCCTATACTATGCAAATTCAGTTATTCTTGTTCAACAAGAGGAGGCCAAATAAATGTTAATGGTACTGATTATTTACTTGAATTTTCATTATTACAACACTTTAGCCATTAGCTAATTAATATAAAGTGCATTTATGAGATGTAGGAGACGAAAATTGTTGCTAGAATGCATCAGAAAGTGATTTGGTTCCAAGAGCCCACCGAGCTCCCAGCAGCTTCTGCCTCTTCAGCTCCTTGACTGGTGACCACATCCTGTGGTGCTCAAAGGCTCTCCTCAAAATGCCACCTTCTTACTGAATGACATCTTCCTTCTGAACTTGTATAGAGCTTGAATTGTTTCTAAATCAATCATGGATAATTTTTAGAAAAATACGAACACAAAAAATTAGGGGTTATTACAAATTTATATAGAGTAAAAGTTAATGATATGCTTTTAATCAAGGTAGAAAATGACTTCCTGTAATACTTTACTTCAAGAATAAAGTTTTTCATATTTAAACGTGACCTACACATTTATCCAGACCCTAGAGCAAGGTTTCTCAACCTTGGGACTATTGACCTTTTGGACTAAATAGTTTTTGGTTGTGGAGCTGTCTTATATATTGTAGGATGTTTTCCAGCATTCCTGGCCTCTACCCACTGGATGACAGTAGCAACCCTTCTCAGAAATGACAACCAAAAATGTCTCCCGACACTGCCAAATGTCCCTTGCAGGGCAAAATTGGCCCTGGTTGAGGACCACTGCACTAGGCAAAGATGGGTGACAGACTGCGTAAGAACATGTGTACTTTATCATCTAGTGAGTAACCAAAGATCACAATTTAAACAGGCAGCATGCTATTAGTTCTGCCCTTGTTCTTGAGAATTATATTTATTTGTTAATCTTTTATGGGGAAGCAATATGAAGACTCAAATGTTTAATCTTTAAATTAAAGTATCTTTATTGCTAGGCTCTGCCATTTACTAGCTATATGCTTGATAAATTACTTGATCTCTAGGAGTCTCAAGTTTCTTCTAATGGGAATAATTTATGTAAAATACTTTGATTATGCCTGATATATAATAAGTGATTGATAAGTTTTGGATTATTATGGATGATTATATTAAATTGTATTATGATTAAAATATTTTTTCCTTCCCTATGGAAATATTTTATATTTCCATTCCATGATGTCTTATATTTCCATCCCATGAATTTCCTGTATGACTTACTTTGGCCAATAAATTGTGAGTGATAGTGGCCACTTTCAAGAAGAAGCTTTAAGAACCATTGTGTGGCTCTTCCACCTCTCCTCTGGCTCTCTCTGGAGACCAGCAATGTCTCAGGTAGGGGCTGTTCCTTCAGCCTGGGACCCAGAATGAAGAAGACATGAGGCAGAACCACAGCCAACCTGTGAGAGACATATAACTTGAACTGGAAATAAACTTTGGTTGTCCAGAATGAATGAGCATTGTTTTTTGTTTTTGTTTTTAACAGCCTAACTTGGCCTAAGTTGATTGACAAAATAATTTATCAAACACTTCTTGAACACTTATCACATGACAGACATTATATAATGGATAAAGTGGTCAGCAAAACTTTCCATGCTGTTCTAGAATATAGATTCTAGTGACTAACAAGGAAAAAATGATAACTGAACATAGTACAACGTGATAGAGGCTGTCACTGATAGGGTAAAGGGAAGAGTCTCTTTGAGTAAAGCCTGAAAGTTTATTACTAGTTTTCTACCACAGAAAGGCAGAAGAATCAAGTTAAAAGAAATGTAAGGCAGGGCAGCATAGGAGCACGGTGCCTTTTCCTTTATTGGTGACGAGTTGGGAGGGGATGGAGCAAGGAATGAGAGATGCCTCAGATAGTTTAAGGACATAGTGATGACCATGTTCTGAAATTTGGGATTTATCTTTTTAAACAAAGGTAAACCATCAAACATTTCTAATCAGGAAAATGGCAATGTCCTAAATTATCCACTCTGTCATTAAGTATCCTATTTAGAAGATTTAATGCCCTTGAAACATTATTTAAAATGTGCATCTAAGTCTGAATGTCTTATGTCTCAGAACAAACTCAAAAAATATATAGTTTTCTAACAAGCCAACGTTCAACTTTTCTAATATTGAATTTATTACTTTGAGGAGTTATGATCCTAAAAGTAGAGTAACCTGGAGAATTCACTCCTTATTGAATATCGCTAGCTTTTTACTTCTTGCTGAAATGTTGCCAGTGACTGTATGCTAAGTTACTGTTTCAGGAAGAAGGATAATAGCAGTAAGAAAAATAAAAATAATAACAACAACAACAACAACAAAAACACAAGTAAACAAGTCTAAAATAGAAATGGAAACTTGTAGTTGAAAAGGATTCTGGAAATGGTAGACTCATTTCTTTATCATTTGAATTCTCCCTATTTTGGAGTCATAAAGAATCATTGCCATTTTTTTCACTGAGTCTGGGTAGATCTATTACATTGATAATAAAGCCATCCTTTATGGATTTCCTGAAAGCTGTTTCTTGCTACAGAACACATTCCTAATTCACAAATTAGGACACTCATCCCTTCCAACAATTGTGTATCCACTATCATTATCATGGTCATATTATTATCATCATGATCATTGTCATTATTACTGTGGCTCTGTTCTCATGACTACACCCTGAGATACAGTCTCATCAATGATGACACATGGCCACACTCAATTGCAAAGGGATATAGTGAAAATGAGGTTTTAGTTTTATAACCTCTATAGCCACTCTGTGCAATTTTGTAGCCATGAGACACATGTGACTATTTAAATGTAAATTTAAACTAATTAAAGTTAAATAAAATTTAACATTTAGTTCCTTGGTCTCAAAAGGCACATTTCAAGTGCTCAAAGCTACACATGCCTAGTGGCTACCATATTGCATGGTGCAGCAGACATAGAACATTTCATCATCACAGAACAGTCTTTTGGAAAGTGCTGCTCTATAGTAAAGAAGACATTCTGCCAAACTTCCATAATGCCTTGCAGTGTCTTACAAAGGAAAGATCCATGTTCAAGGGTTCCTTTAAAAGGTTAATAGTTACTTATCTATTTTTGTTATAACCCAAATATTTTATCTCCTCACTGACATATTTTATATTTAGAATGGTAAAGCTAACAATGAACAAATTAAAAATAGCGACTGTACTCTAAATTTGTCTAAAATTCAATGGGATCACCTACAAACTTGATCCTCCACTGCAACTACAAAATTCAAGCAAAGCCATAAAATAAGCAAGACAGCAGCCTCTTGGAGATTTAATGCCACTTTTTGTGCCAGCCATTCTATAAAATATTAATGATGACATTTTCTGTAATAAATGTTACTACATTCTCTCAAATGCGTGAACACTGGCAGAGGATTCTTTATAGTGATTCAGATGTAGAAAGAGTTTATTAAAACAATATATTAATTTTCAGGAAGCTAAAAATAATACTTAAGTTCACATTTGCAGTTTTAAACGTTTTCTACTGATTTTTCTTTTAATTGGAGGAAGGTAATATTTTGCAGCAGAAAGTGTTTGAAACCAGGAATCAAAATACTGGGTCTATAAAGTACCTGAATCTTGCTGTCTCTTCTTCATGATAACATTGCTAGGGTCAGGAAAGAATAACAGGCCTCTTACGGGCCTTCTATATATGATTGAGAGACAGACTAATTCATCCCCAGTTGCTTAGTGGACAAGATTTAAAATATAGCATCATCCAAATGTGGTATTGAAAGACAGTTCAAGAAAGTCTCTGATATACTAAAAGCCAACTCTAATTTGCATACATACAAAGACAATCCTCATTTGAGAAATAACTAAATGGACACTTTCTTTTCATATCTCTTGATGTAACAACTGTTGTCTGTATTTTATTTATGTGATATTCCTGGACCACTCAAAAAGGAAAACATGATTTTGAAATTTATTTTTTCCCCAATCTGTAAATCATGTAACTGTTGACGTGCGTAACTGTTATGATTTTTGCAAACACTACTTAAATTTGCCTTCTGCAATGTTGATGATTTTGTTTGACATTTTTGTATATGATCATAATAATGTAAAATTATCCTTTTGAAAATTAGGTAGTGAATGCAACTAGAGACAAATGCTTTCTAGAAACTCAGAATAAGATTCAAAATTCTAAACCAGTGGTTCCCATAATGTTGTAAAGGCATGCCAAGAATGTTATTGAAAGACCTCTGCCTTATATGGCACAACTCATTTATTCAGCAAATATTTATGGAGTACCCTCCTCAGACAAATCTTCATACTGTGTACTTTGAGTGGCCAAAGAAGAGTTAAAACCAAAGCAACAAAACAATTCAATAGTTGGTTTGCAGTCTCCAGAAAAGTCGTTTGATTCTGGCAGCATATTGGAATCACCTGGGAAGCTGTGACAAACTGAATGTTTGTGTTCTCCCCAAATTCCTATGTTGAAGCTTTACCTCCCAATGTTATGATATTTGGAGCTGGGGCCTTTGGGAGGTAATTAGAGTTAGATGAGGTCATGAACGCAGGACCCTCATAATAGGATTGATGCCCTTAAAAGAAGAGACACCAGAGCGTTTGCTCTTTCTTTCTATCCCCCAGTGTGTAAGCACAAAACAAGATGGTGTCCACCTACAAGCCAAGAGAAGAGTCCTCAGAATGAAAGCTACCCTACCTGCACATTTGTCTTGGACTTCCCGACCTCCAGAATGGTAAGAAAGTAAATTTTCATTGTTCAAGCCATCTAGTCTATGGTATTTTGTTACGGCAGCCTGAGATGACTAATACAGAAGCTAAAAGAAATTTTAAAAGCCAAACAACAAAATCTCAAACCGAATCCCACTTCCAGATATTATTTAATTGGTCTGGTCTTGATCTCAGGGCATTGGTACTTTTTGAAAGCTCTTGAGATGAACTTACTCTTCAGCCAGGTTTAAGCTCCTTCTGTCCCAGGGAAGGGGTCTCAATGTTTTTATTTATCCACGCACTCATGAGGGATATAACACTCTCTGAAGTTACTCCATGTAAGAAGAGGAGTAGGCACAGCTTGTGAAGCTTTAAAGAAGCTTGCTAGATTGATGTGTCTTCTTTCTTCTCTACTCTCATTGAGAATCACCATGTAAGATAAAGAGCTATTAGGGCAGAAGATAAGGGTGTTATTTTCATGAGAGGCTTTATGAGATGAGAATTGTTACTTTGGTGCTCAAGTGATAAAAACTGGTCTAGTGTTTAATGAGAGGTAAACCTACCTTCTCCTATGTGGACTTCCTTCATTCCCCCATGTTTTGAGATCAGGAGAACTCGAATCTTTGGGAGATCCATGGGACAGCAATGTTGGAAATGTGAGAGTTCTCAAAAGGTGCACTGTCTCAGTATGTACAGTACTTTCCCTTTTGAGAAGTCCTGCAAATCGTTGCAAAACTTTGCAAGAAGGATGGGAGGTCCTAGTGTGCAGATGGGAGCTAAAACAGGAATTTCGGTTCATTTATGTGACCAGAAAACAATTTCAAAGCATGTATAGTTTCTAGACAACACAGAGAGGCCAGAACTAATGTAGGGGGTACCAAAAAGCTGCATAACAGAATGGGACAAAGTTGCTATTATTCCAGCTTTTTTGTCCTTTTTCAGTCTCTTAATTTTCTCACTTGTGTCTGAGAGGGGAAAGAAGAAAAGAGAAACAGAATGGTTAATGAGTGAGAGTAGCCAAAGAGCTTTGATTTAGCATCGTGGAGAGAGTCGAATATTCAGTGGTAAACTGATAAACAAACTTGTTCTTTGGTTAAAATGTCAAGCTTCTGCCATCTCCCTGAATCTTGTCAGGTCCATACATACACTTGTGTGGATGTTTCTGTTTATTTTTGGTCAATCTCAGGAAAACAGACTGAGTCACACATTTGAATTAAAGCCAAAATGGAGCTGGAGGATATAAAGTGAAATTCAGGAATTCAGAAAGCAGAAAAATAAAATACAGATGCAAGAATGTAAGCCCTCATCAACTTGCAGAAATTCAGGATAAGAATTTCTCCTCAGGCTATGGAATGGGATTTTAAGACATTCTTATCTCGATTATATGAGTCAGGTGAGTTATACTATTTTCTGAGGAACGCTCTAGTGGGAAAAATATACCTTTTTAAAAAAATGGAGTCTCCTCTTTTTTTTTTTAACTCAACCTACTATGGAACAAAGTAAAATGAGCTCAGACTTCATGAAGCTGCGTGTGAATTTTTTTTTTTTTAAGATTGACACCTGAGCTAACAACTGTTGCCGATCTTTTTTTTTTTCCCTGCTTTTTCCTCCCCAAATCCTCCCAGTATATAGTTGTATATCTTTTTATTTGTGGGTCCTTCTAGTTGTGGCATGTGGGACGCCACCTCACCGTGGCCTGATGAATGGTGCTATGTCCGTGCCCAGGGTCTGAACCAGGGAAACCCTGGGCCAATGAAGCGGAGCATGTAAACTTAACCACTCAGCCATGGGGCCGGCCCCATCCCTGTAAAATTTTAGGAATTCAGTTATTTAGGAGAGTTTTTGAACCTGCTTAAATCCTTCAAATCATACAAATAGTAAAATGTATTCCCCAGGGTTATGAGATGAAGAACTAGTTCCCTGTACCCTTTGTCTCTTCTCTTGGCACAAGCAATCAACATGAGAGTCTTAGCCAAATAACTTTAAAGTGGTTCTCAAAGAGTGGTGGTGGAGGGTGGGTCAGCTGCATCAGCATCACCTGAAAGGCTGCTTGCCTGCATGCCCAGACCTAGAGAGTAAGAAGCTCTGGGAGTGGGTCCAGCAGTCTGAGCTTAAACAACCCTGCAGGTGATTTGAATGCAGGCTCCAATGTGAGAAACATTGCTTTAAAACAACATCAGCTGTGGGAAGGTGCACCAGTTGCTGTAGAAACAAATTACTCAAGGAAGACCTACAAATAATAAGAGCAATGATAATAAGCCTGCAGACCTCTTACTTTGTGACAAGCACTGGGCTTTGTAAACATTTCTGAGGGACAGTATAGCACACTGATTAAAAGAATAGACTCTAGAACCAGACTCTTTAGGCTTGAATCCGACCCTGACCATTTAAGAGCTCTATGGCTGTAAACAAGTTCCTTACATTCTCTGTGCCTTAATTTCTTCATCTGCAAAATAGTGGACTCAGAGTAGTTATCGGGGTTAATGAATTAATATGTGTAAAGAATTTAGAACAGTGCCTTGACAGAGAGCTCTAAAAGTATTGACTATTACTTTACATTTATCAATATGTAATGTGTAATTTTATATTATATCATTAAAACCCCTGATCCAGGGGAGAGGATCCAAGATGGCGCCGTGAGTAGTCCTCTTTGTCTCTCCCCCTTCGAGTCAACAATTATTTGGACACTCATCGCTTAACAAAGGATATCCAGATAGCATCTCAGGACGTCTGAGAGACCCATGCAGCTATACATCAGAAGGCAGATGGACTTCCCTCCAGGAGGATGTGGAGATAGGTGAAAACTCTCCGACCCCAACCGAACAGCCTAGTACCTGCAAGCAGCTTTCTTCCAACGGATGCCCCCAGAAGATCAACACACACCTAGGGCAGGAGTGAGCACACACCAGAGGAGCAACGGTGGAAACAGGTGACCAGAACCCTACCTAAACCCCCCACAATTACTCCTAAATGCAGAAGGAATCTCTAGAGTTACACATCTGAGCCCGCGGGGAGAGTCTCGTCCCGCCATTGATAGGGAGATCCCGCCTAGTGTTCACGGCACCCGGAGGGTCCCAGAGAGAATCACAGAGGGTACAGCGGCCCCCCGGCTGCCACTGCCTGCACAGTGGGGAAAGTGATTGCCGGAGATCTCAGAGAGGACTGGGGCTGGGTGAAGCTCCAGAGGCCGGCTCCGCAGCCTGGAGGGGAAACTCCAGAGTTCCACCCAGGCAGCAGACAAAACTCTCTGTCTGCCATTAGCAGAGGGGCCACACCCAGCATTCACAACTCCAGGAAAGTCCCGGAGAGAATCCCAGAGGGCGAGGTGACCCCCAGCTGCCATTGCCCACCCTGTGGGGCTAGGGATTGCCAGAGATCTCGGAGAGGACTGGGGCTGGGTGAAGCTCCAGAGGCTGGCTCCGCGCCCCGGAGGGGAAGCTCCAGAGTTCCGCCCGGGTAGCAGACAAAACTCTCTGTCTGCCATTAGCGGAAGGGCCATGCCCAGCATCCACAACACCGGGAGGGTCCTGGAGAGGAGAATATCAGGCAGGGCAGCAGCTGACCAGCTACCACTGAAATCAGGATCTCCGGCTATCCCCCAGACAGGGCAAAGGGCTCCCCTAGTTCCTGGGGAACAGGACTGGGGCTGGGTGGAGTTCCAGCGACCCAGCTCTGTAGCCTAGGGGGAAACCCTACAGGCTCACAGCAGCCTCATGGAAAGCCTCTGCACAGCACTAGTAGAGAGCACCCATCCGGGAGCCACAAGGCTGGAAGACCCGGGGACAAAAGTAGCATAGCTAGGTGAGCTAACCACAGACTGTAGAAGATGCCAATAGCTCTGCTGCGACCCATAGTGGACAAGTGAGATTTTGTGGGTGCCGACAGTGATGGAGCAGCAAATATAAGTGATCCTACCCCTGGCCGCTGGAAAAGCCCATAACACCGTTGCAGACCCCAAGGAGTGAGCACGTCTAGGTGGGCTGCAACAGTAGGCACCAGCAGCCTGAAGCCCCTCTGTGACGGCCCCCACGGCAGAAGAGGGAATCCAAAGAACCACTGTGACTACGAGGAGGGGCCCAGGCCCAGTTAGCAACTGCAGATAGGGTTCCTGGTTGGTGCAGTATAAACAGCTGCTCCCCCACCACACCAGCAGAAACAAATGGAAGGAGCAACTAAACTCTATCTCTATGCAGAGGCACAAATCTACAACATCAAGCAATATGAAAAAATACATTAATTCTCCAGAACAGAAGGAAAATAACAAATACACAGAAAACAATCCCAAAGAAAATGAGATATATAACCTAAATGATGATGACTTCAAAACAGCCATCATTAAAATACTCAATAAGTTAAGAGAGAATTCAGATAGACAACTCAACGAGTTCAGGAGCTATGTCACAAAAGAGTTTGATATGATAAAGAAGAACCAAACACAAATACTGGAAATGAAGAACACAATAGAGGAGATTAAGAAAAATCTAGATGCAGTGAACAGTAGGGCCGATAATATGGAGAAAAGAATTAGCAATTTGGAAGATGGGAATATAGAAATGCTGCAGGCAGAGGAGGAGAGAGAAGTAAGACTAAAAAGAAATGAAGAAACTCTCCGAGAATTATCAGACACAATTAGGAGATGCAACGTAAGGATTATAGATATACCAGAGGGAGAAGAGAAGGAGAAAGCGGCAGAAAGCCTATTCAAAGAAATAATGGCTGAGAACTTCCCAAATCTGGTGAGAGAGATGGATCTTCAGGTGACAGAAGCCAATAGATCTCCAAACTTTATCAATGCAAGAAGACCAACCCCACGGCATACAGTAGTGAAGCTAGCAAAAGTCAACGACAAGGAGAAAATACTAAGGACAGCCAGGCAAAAGAAACTAACCTACAAAGGAACCCCCATCAGGCTATCAGCAGATTTCTCAGCAGAAACTTTACAGGCTAGAAGAGAGTGGAATGATATATTCAAAAATCTGAAGGACAAAAACCTACAGCCGAGAATTCTCTACCCAGTGAAAATATC